CCCTGTCACTAACACTATTGGTATCCTGTAAAGAAACAGTTTTCTTCTCTTGGTTTAGGTAATTGATTCCACAATAAGGATATCAAACTGCTGGTTAATTGCGTAGTCACTCCCATAAGTCAGGTGTCATGACCCGTGAGGAGGAGATGCTAGACTGGGAAGGACCCCAGGAATTTTATGCCAAATATGATCCAAAGGATATTCTTGGCCGGTGAGACCTTATGGCTTTGTTTGATTTATTTAAAATAATTTGGTTAAATTTTATCCAGTACTATCAAAACAAATGATGCCCTCAGCAATAGTTTAGAAAACCATAATTTTTTGTTCAGTATTCTGAATCATTTCTCTTAATGTCTTGGAATACGTTGTTATTGAGTAATTGTTTAAATTAAGTATTGAAATGTGAACTGAAGGGAGACCAGATTCTTGCGGAGCCGGGAAGACTTCACATTAAAAATAGTGGATGGAGCCGAGAAGTTATCGCAATTTCAGACATCCCATTTTTGCCAAAGCTCACCTGTGCATTTTGACTTGGTTCTGAGTTCCAACAGATGTAGTTTTGACAGTTACCTTAATCTGCAGTGTGGGAGTTATAAATTTATGGAGTGGACATAAATTGTCTTGAAGGAGGGATAAAATCTGTTTAAGTATCATGATCTGAAGATTATTTTATATTCCCTGCTCTTTAAACAAGGAAGTATAACAGGGTAGAAGTCCTTTGATCTAGCATCTGGCAGAGTTAGTAAAAACATTACACTTTTCATGCATTTTTAGCAGAGGTTTTCATTGAGATTTCCCAAGGGATACATGTATGTCAAAATGAATGCATGGTTGAATTTTAAAAGCTATTATTATTAATAATAATAATATTATTATCCCTGCATGATTTTACGATCGCTTTAAAAATTTGACACAGGAATTTGATACAAAATGTGGTTAGAAATGTTTTTATATATAAGCAATGCAATCACTTGAATAGTTTTACAAGATTTGAGTGGATTTCATGAATGCAAATTTTTTTTTCATAGTCAAGTATGAATGAATGAGAACTGTATTAAATTGTTTTGTCATTTTTCAAAACTATCCCCATGGTCTCCACAGTGTGCCTACGGTGGTAGGAATAAAGGAACAAGAGCAGTCCATTCTGCATGTGTAGCCTGCTACATTGTTCCGTTATCTGATCATCTACTTCAATGGCACTTTCCCACACTGTTTCCAGAAATCTATCGATTTCTGTCTTAAGTATGTTCAGTGTCTTTTGGGGTACAGAATTCCAAATGTTCATTACCTTCTAAGTGAAGAAATTCCTCCTCATCTCAGTTTGAACACCCCCTCCCCAACCTTATCGTAAAATCCTATAAACTGGTTGTAGGCTCAATAGCCAGAAGAAATAAAGTATTTACATCTACTCTGTCAGATCTTCAAAGAATTTTGTAAGTTTTAGTAACTTGTCATCCTCACATTACTCAAAACTCTAGGGAATACAGACCTCTCCTCAGAGAAATAAATGCCATCCAAGGTATTATTCTGGTGAGCTTTTGTTGCACTCCTTCTGTGACGAAGGTTTCCTTACTTAAGATGAGGAGCCCCAAACTTTATACAATACTCCAAATGCTCTTAGCAAGGCTCCGCAGCAAAACATCTTTAATCTTGTGCATACTATTTTTTAAAAATGCATTATTCCTGTCTAACCCAGCATTTATTGTCATCCCTAATTGCTTAGACATCAATTAAGAGCTAATAACATTGTGGAGGCCTAGAGTCTCACGTGGGTCAGACCAGGTAAGGATGGCAGATTTCCTTCCCTAAAGAACATTAGTGAATCAAATGGGGTTCTCCTGACTATTGACAGCATGATGAGATAAGTTCAGATTTTTATTGAATTCAGATTCCACAATCTCTCGTGGCAGGTTTTGAACCTGGGCCCCCAGAACAATATCTGGGTCGCTGGCTTAGTAGTTTAGTGATTATATCATCGCCATACCATATCATTTGCCTTCCTTATTCATTGTTGCACCAGCAAATCATGATTAAGAACACTGTTTTGTTGTTTTATTAGATAGATTCCAGACCTATGCCTTTAAGACTACATGACATTAAGCCTTGTGACACTCTGGTATAAAGGTCTTGTCTTCGGTCACACTCCCTGTGTAATGGTGTCAGTGTAGTGTCTTTAGTCAGTTATGTGTTTGTAATGTACACTAATAGCACAGAATCTGGACTTCCATCTATGATATTGTCACTGTGTAAATAGTGTTAACAAACTTCAAAATATCTGCCTCAACATGAACACAACGCTCTGTAATATATCATACATGGACTAACAAAAAAAAAGTACAAAACCTATGGACACCAAAACTTGCCAATATCTCAAAATTTAAAGAATATTCTACCCTTTTGCTTCCTTTTCTACAAATCTTCATGAAAGAAGATAGCATATTTCATTTTTAAGAATATGGACCATATTGGAAGTTGGACTGCTAAATAGCTGACATAACAGAAACATTTTGCAACTTTGAAAGATTAGATGCCACACATATTTAGCTCTGCAAGACAGTGAAGCAAAGAGATTATTACTTTGACACTGTGTTGGCACCAACAGACTTTGAATTAAAGAAATTCTGCCTGATAACAGTCCTCTGGTTAAGTTGCAGTTTGCTAAAAAGCTGTAAGTGAAAGATTAACAGAGACATCAAGAGCTTGTGAACAGAAAACATCAAGCTTTCCCTCCTCTCCATCCATTTGGGGATCATATGGGGATAAAGAAAGAAAAAAAGACTTAAAACAAAAAAAATCAAGTAAAGGCCTATGTCTGCTGAATCAACTATTGAAGTGAAGAATGGCTATTGATATACCTACAGTAGCATGTCATCAATGCTAAGTATCAAGAGTGACACAATTTCATCCACCCATGAAATTTGAACTTTTGATATTCGGACTTCTGTTCACTATTTATATTATTTTTTCCACTCATGATATCAGTGTCAAACAATCTGCCTTCAGTCTATTAATCATAAGTATACATATGTATATTTGGGATTTTTGAAGGTATATAGCTTAAGTTGCATTGTAATAAATTAGAAATCCTTTCTGTTCCTCTGCTCTTTGCTAAAGTGTGTTGCAATAAATAGTTTTTTTTACCACTACTGAAGGAGTCTGATGAAAATTTCCTTTGTCCTGAATAGCAGTCAGTCAGGCAAATTGGTTGACTTGATGGTCTCGTTGGGATTTTATACATTCCATAGTGGTTTGTGGAAGCAGTGGGGCACAATTACCAACACATCGCTTTCCCTTTCCCACATCCTCTCACTTTCAGTCATGGCACTTCACACTTATTTACATTATATTGCATTTGACATTTCATGCCTTTTTACTTAACTTATCTAAGTTTCCTTGAAACCTGTAGTGATTGGAAACATGGCCATGTGGATCTCATTGACTATGAGATTTTTGATTGGGGTTGTTAACCTGAGCCATTCAGGGAGCTCTGGATGACAGATATAAATAGGAGATTCAGAATGTCTCCTCAGTCTAGGGCTGACTCTGAGCTGGCTGGTTACAGCCCATGTACAGTGCACATGTAAATACAGGGTGACTTGGTGATGTGATACTGGTCTCTGTGCAGTTATTTCACTGACAGTGAGAGAATGTCATGCCTGAAGAAAATTCACTCACAACAATCGACTTTAAGTTGGGGTAAGCATTTCTGGCATCGTGCCTTAATTTGGAAAACTTGAAGATTGGGCCTGGTATCTGGAAAGAACGTGATATTTTTTCCGAGCGAATGACTTTGGGGCAGATGAAAACCAAAGAGTAATCCTTCTGACTGCTTGCAGACCTGTAGCATTTTTGGTTATTAGGAGTTTAACTTTCCCGGATGCACAAGATAATAAAACCTTTCAAGAGTCGATGGATTTAGTTAAGGAATATTACAACCCTAAACCTCCTCTAATTCTCAGCTGCTATTGGTTTTATTTGGCTGCTTGAGAATGAGGGGAATCTGTTTCGCGATTTTTGACAAGGTTAAGATGACTGGCAGAGGCACATGATTTGGGCTAATCTTGGATGAGATACTGAGAGACTGGTTGGTATGTAGGATTAATGACGTAACCATGCAGAAGCACCTACAGGTGAATCCCAACTGGACTTCAAACAGGAACTACAACTTGCTTTGTCATTAGGAAATGCAGCAAGTGAAACATGGGAGCTACAGAGCATCCCAATGGAAGTGGTCACCTTCACCTGTTGTCCAAGCCTGGGGAACATCAATTGAGTGTAGGCAATCGCAGAGCCTCACGCAGGACATATCCTGAGCAGAGGGAATTTAGTCCAGCCCACAACAAAACCCTGCAACAAAGCTGAGCCTCAGCCAAATGGCTAAGAAATCCTTCAGGATTTCGGCCAGCAGGCCATTGTAGTTGAGACAGAAAAGGAGTCCTATGAGGCCTGACTGGAGTAAAAGAACTCAATGGCCAGAATCCAGGAGAGTGCACGCCTTGGAAAGTCCACCTACATGTGGGTTGGAACAGTTAAAATTGCTTAGCAACATCCAAATCAGAGCCGATTAAAATAAATGTCTGGTTAAATGGTCGCCTGTTTCTCATGGAGTCCAATACCCGCCCATCTGTTACAGTGGTTGGAGAAGTCTCTTACAAGATTCAGCTCTTATGTACATGCAAGATCTTGGCCACACTGAGAACATATACTGGGGACCTGTTACAGATTAAGGGCACGTCTTCAGTTCCAGTCTCCAGTGAGAGTTGGTGTAGTTATCACTGATGGATAGTAAAAGGCTTGGGCCAAAAACCAATTGGGGTGGACTTGGTTGAAAAAAATTGACAAAAGCAGACGTGGAAATCAGAAGGCTGGAAAGCGAAGGATTCATCAGTTTGCAGAGTGGGTAGCCCTGACCATACAGATTGTGAAGCCTGATGGCTCAGTCTGCTTTTATGGGGATTTTAAGCAAACAATAAACCACTTCTTGCAGCCAGATAAATACCCAATCCCTCACACTGAGAACATGTACACAAAACTGGTGGAGAAAGGACCTGTCCTTCACAAAGCTGGACATGAGCCATGCCTACCTGCAATTGCAACTGGATGAGGAGTCCCAGAGGTATGACATTATTAACACCCATAACGGTTTATACCAATATATGAGACTGCCATTTGGGGTATCATCAGCCTTCACCCTTTTCTAGCGTACAATGG